TTATACTTAGCTCGCAACGTTACCTCAACCGTCACAGAGTTCAATTAACGAGTTAAATAAAACGTGTTCGTTTTTTTTTTCTTACTCAACGATTTCTTATCAATCTCTTGTCTTATCCGAAACATTCCTCCGATGTACTTTCCCGATGTCTTCCCTTTTTTTCCGCGTGTATCGCGTTCGCGGCCCTGAAAGTTGTTGATCGTTATTTAATTGATCCGCGCGCACTCACGTGTAAACAAATGTGAAAAAAATGAAACTATACGCGCGCGTGTGTGTGCGTACGTGCGCTGTGTCGCGTGAATTGTGAAATGAAAATCTGGGTCCGCGGCGATTTGCGCTTGGCGCGCGACGCAGTCGCGGCGCGCGAGCTTGCGTGTAATGAGTATTCGCGCGTTGCATCGCGGCTCGAATCGAAGTGTGTCAGCTGGTTTGTCAGCGGCGACGGCGGCGGCGGCGAGAGACGACAGCAGAAGTGTATTTGGACTTCGAGGACAACAAGGTGCGTAGGAAGGACCCTTTCGTTCTGATTGATCTACGCGATCCGATACGGGATCGCGCGTGCACATCTCGTATCAAAAATTTCCCATTAGCTCTATTAATGTCGATACTATGTCGATATTAATGATGAGGTAACATGAGTAGATGATCGCCGAAATGATATTACGACCGGCAAAGGTCCCTCGTTATCTCTACATCTATCGGGGAATTGATCGTTGAAATTGTATCGTGGAAATACCCACGCGTTTGTCGATCTTGGAGATTGACGCGTGGACGCCGTGGTCTTTATCGTTTCGCCGCGAGTAAAAAAATTTGCCGATGATGAGTGTTTGCAATTACGCGTTGTCATAATAATGTGATAATGTCGAAATGTATCGGTATAAAATGATAAGAGAACAATTCAACGCGGTTACGAGTGTCATTATTACACGCTAATATCGTCAACGTAATTTATTATTTTAGGAATATTGAATATTTCGTTCAATCCTTTTCCCAATGTGAAGTCTAAGGGAAGAGATTCCTTTTTTTTATAACAATCCATTTTCGCGCCCAATTTGTTTTTACTTATTATAGTTCCTATTATAATTCTTCAGACAACTTTCAAGTGAATATTAAAAACGATACGTGCTAAATCGTAAATTCTGCAAACGTGAGTCAGTGTGAACAAAGCGTTGAATCGTCTCTATCTGGTCGTGTAGCCGCAGGATGCGATAGCTTTCTTTCAGATGTGTTCGAATCGCGACGCCACGCAACTACCGGAGAGATTATTTTCTCTTCGCCGCTTTCACATTCACTTTCTTCATATTTTTAAATGGCACCCGGTATACGCCGTGCGCGAAAGATTTTAAACGCTCTTCCGATGTGTTGCTTAATATATATTGACAGTAATACTAAACGATAGCGATATTTATAATAGACAAAATAATAAATATAAATAATATAATAAAGAAAATAAACAACATATATAATAGTAAAAGTAATTAAGTTTTTCGCAATTATCTTATTCGTATGGTCAACTATTTTTTCAAATACATTTTATATACACAATATCAAGAAAAAAAGCTATGTGTCCAACGTTCAAATGAACTGCTTAGAAAGTGCTTGTCTTCTTTTTACATTGAAAAGATATGTAAATGAATTTAAAATTATACCCGATAAGAAAGTAGTAGTCACATCGTTTGAATGCGAGCACTGTCGATGAATCATAGGATAAAAAATTATTTATTTATACGATATCTGCATAGCGTGTGTCACAAGTGAAAATGACTGTCGTAATAGTGTTACGTAAACAAATTATAAGATCATACATAAAATCTGGTTATTAAGTTTACTAATCTAGTTAACCAAAAACTATAGAAAACAAACGGAAATTATATTATTTAATTTAACGAATTTCACTAAAGCTTCTGTTTATTACCGAATTCATTGATATTATATTAATTTACTTAAGTTTCCGAATTTTATTTTTAAGAATTCGATTAAATATCGAATATTTTTGAAGAATACTATCTCTCGGCTTAAATTCAGATTTTCGCAAATTACTTTGCAACATTAATTTTAATATAAAAAAAATCATTTAAATCACTAAATAATTCTTTCGATTCTTTCTCTGAACGATTCTTGAAGCAAGTGATTCAGAAGTATTATTAAATGTGAATATTTGTCATCGAATATTTATTATCCGTTTGATATACTTATCAATTGAAAAAAATCGTTAATACATGTTTTTATCGAATCGTTATTATCCGTTTGGTAATTATCAATTGAAAAAATCGTTAATACACGTTTTTATCTGCGGTTCGAGAGATGCGAGAGCATTTATTGTTTCGCATATCTCTCACGCCTCGTGCAATCACACGAATAAATTTGAACTTTGAGCGGTAACATTGAACGGACGTGTTTATAAATATATATAGTTATGAAACGAATACTTTTTTTTCTCACATACGCGATTCCATTATTTGTTCCGCTGAACACTATTAGTCATTAATTCGTCATCCAACATTCGCAATGCTCGCCGCGTAAATAGTCTTCGACTTTCTTACGCGGAAGCTGCATGTCATATCTATCAAAATGGTCGAGGCTGTCGAGTTGACCGTCTTGCAGGAGGACGCAGGACGCGTAGGAGTAAAGTAAGGTGTCCAGTTGCGCAAGAGACGTCGTGCGCGCTACGGGAGACCGCGATCATTGGGATCACGCTAACAGGTGCCGGGCTGCAGCTCGTCGCGCAATCTCCATGTTTGTAATTTGTCCTGTAATTTACGGAAGGAGATCAACACCGTCCGCGCTTACGAGCTACTTGCATTGTAATCCAACGATAAGAGATGCGGAAAAAATCGTGCGTGAAGCTCCGGAGCTGCTCAAAGTTCTCCCCGTGATTCTTAATCTCAACGATCTCCTTGCTAATCTTCGCTAATCAATTTCGTTCGGAGTTGTGCGCTTTTGATGTATTAATTCAGTAAATATGCCATTACTAATTATCATTTTTCTTTTTAACATGTACCGTTCTTAATCGTAGAGAGAAGTTCGGAAAATATTGCGATCTCGATAGACTGTCTAAAAATGAGTTATCGTGGAAATTCCGTCCGTTAAAAATCCGTACAAAATCGAAGGAATATCTCGTGTATATAGCTGCTCCGAAGGAGATTCTTATCTTAACTCGATAAAAGCAAGGGCAATCTTTAGCTACTCAACAATATTCAATTTTATCGGAATAAAGCACTCGAAATCTAACACCTTGTATTGACATTTCTCGTCCTAATTCAGCGTCATCGATATTCTCAATCAGTGACCAAACTTTGTGCCCAACTGTTATTAATCAGTTATTAATGTCCGAATACAGACAAGCGTTTGGGGAAAAATCCGTAGAAGTAACATTTTGGAGATTTTTTTCTTTTTGTAAATAACAGATTTCCATTCTGTTCGTTGTGACTATTAATGTGGAGGTATAAGCCACGCGCGTAATTCGAGGACGCGCGATCGCGCCTGTGTGAAATGTGCAAATACTAATTTCTCGGCGAAGAGGAAAACACCTGTTATTACTTTTTTTCCTCGGATGTGAGGTAACCGAGGAAGAAAAAAAAATGGCTGAGATCGAATTGTCAGTCTCACAGGAGTCTAAAACGCGCACAAATGCAGCCTCTACGCAAACGTCAGTGCGGTAAGAATTCTTCACGAGTCAGTGTAATCGGAGTATCTCGATAAAAATCGATGGATATTTTTAGCTACCTGTACTTTGATTCTTTGATTAACTTTTCTCAAACAGATAAATGTCAAATATTGGATGTAATATAATTTTTAGGTATATTTTTTGAAATTAGAATACATCTATCGAAGGATGCCCATAAATATAAGAACATTTCTAGACATTTCTTTTAATTCCTTTTATTTTTTTCAATCATCTTTTTCCTCGCAATTCCACTCCTGGCAGACGTTATTACGCGTTAAATAAACCATAAAGAGATTTACTTATTCCGTTTACGTACGTGCACACGTAACGAAATAAACGAGAAAGTGCATTACTTCAGGGAAATCATAAACATGCGTTGTAATCACGAATTTCCGGTATGGGTTGAATAAAACATATGGAATGTCGGAAATGTTTCGATAGAGAAATTCAGGCATGTAAAAATTAAATGTATACACAGGAAGATATATAGCTTCATGGATATCTGATGCTTTCAAGGGCTTCCGAATATCATTAGAGCGCTAGATAGTGCATTAGACACGCTAGATAAGTTTGCTTTATCGTTGGTCTCACGTTTTCTGTAACCAAAATATTGTAACCAAACTATTGTTTTCAAATACTGCAGTATAATTACAGTCAATGATGAAGTGAATTGGGTGGCTGTTCATTTTAAATAACATTCGAAACAATAGCGTGTGTCATGCAGTCATCGCACACTCTTTGTTCGTCCAGTTCGCTCATGAAAAATTCTGCAAAGCGTAACGTAACTTAATGTAACGTATTGTTATGTAAAGACATAAGACTTTTATTTAAAAAAAAGTTTTGGAACTGGAATTTTAAAAAATTAATATAATATATATATATAATGCATGTTTTAAAATATTTTATATATAAATTAAATATATGTTGTTTTTGTAACTCTCTAAATCTGAATCAGTGGAAAAGTACTGAAAAATCACTGACTGAGTCAGTACTCTAATCTAACTATAATTTCACTAATAACCTATAATTAAACTATTTAATATTAATCTACAATTTCACTGATTACCAGTGAAATATTTGGGACTGATGCATTCAATGAATAATCAGTATTCATTGATAATCAGTGACTATGAACTGATTCAGATTTAGAGAGTTACAAAAAATATATTATATATAAAATATTTTAATTAAATATGTATTAAATAATAAAATATAAGAAAAAGATAAAATATATGTGCATATATAAATTCCAATTTATACGTACTACGAAACGGAAATTTTTTATTTCAGTCTGAATTCTTCTATTATATTACGTAGAAAAATTTTAAATTAATATCAATACAATAATACATACTTTAACTATGCAATTTACTCCGTTATTTTGCTTTTGATTCTTGTACACTTTTAAAGTCGCTCCATCGAGCGGCAACGCCCATACATTTTTTTGTTCCTATACTCGACATTCAATTACATAACACGTCTTGTTAAAGAAAAAAAGAATAGTTTTATCTGCAATGCTGTTATGTGTATTATATGCATATGATATATATATATATACACAGCCTATAGAGCATAGAAAGTGTAGAAAGTGTACAAGAATGTGGTGTAGTAGGAAAAAAAGGAAAGCCCAGTGATCTACACGTCTTCCGATGTATTATGAAAATTTCGCGCAAAATTGTGAAAAAGTTGCGATCTTCCGTGACCGAGAGACGTGCTGCAGCGGGCCCTTCAACGCGAGACAATTCATTTCGTCTCTCACCCCCCCCCCCCCGTTCTCGGTTGTCCGCCGCCGAGATAAAAAACAATAAGACAGGTTAGCGTACATACACACACCCGGTATATCGCGATAGCGTAACGCCAGTCCAATTATACTCGCAAACTTACTCGTTACCTTTCCACGCGGGGACAGGCACACCGTCGACTGTCAATGAAATCGTTGAAAATCGATTGTTTACGTTCCGCTCAGCTGATACGCAACGTGTGCTACGCGATGTCCACAGAGTGATGGCGGAGTCCCTCCTCTCCCGCCCCGCCCCGAGCGAGACTCACGCGACAGTTGTCAGCTGTTGAGCTGTGCATTGCTATTCCAGGACTTGATTTTATGATTAAAATAATCAGAGCGTTACCGAATTGACTTTCACCCGATCGTAACTTAAGTAATCGCTATGCGCGAACGTTTTACGTCACGGAGTAGTTCGCCTTGGTACTCGATATATATACATTCCATATATTTTCTCAGATAACTTTTGTATACTTACTGTCAAACGTGTTGTGTTCCGTGAATAATTTTGCACATAACCACTGCGCTTCCTACCTCGACTATACCTGGTAACATAACGTCGGTGCATAACAAGATGCATTACCTGTAAGAAGCTTTTTTTTTCGTTAACGTTTCTAATTATTAAAAACAATTAATTAAAATAAATCCTAACAGTCGACTTGTCTGTCAAAAGTTGCTCCAGACAAACGTACATAACTCTTGAACTTGCAGATGTATACGTCTTTCTTAGAGCCGTTAATTTCTACGATAAATTATGTAAAATTTGTTTAATTTATTTTCAGTAATCAGTTGCAAAAATTAAAAAATATTACGAGCCTTTCTCGCTCACATTTATTTAAAAAATATTCCTAATGTATCCTGTCGCAGATATGTCAGTCTAACTCCAACTCTAATTAAGGTACTTTTGATAGCAAAACTTTTGTGATTTCTTGTAAATTTCTGATAGTCAGTAGTTCCTCATGAAACTGAGCTTTCTGACATAGAATTATTTTTTTTATGTTTAAAAAGACAGTTCTAAGATATTATAACCTATTGCAAGTATATACTATATATTCTAATTGTGAAATTTATTTATTTTGCATTGTTTAATTAATGAGACGTTTATTTTGTGTTGCAGAATATCATTTCTGCATATTCCAAAGAAATTTAATTTTTTAATTACATGGTTAACACATGTCATAATAATTAATTCTAATACGGCGAATAAGTTCTCATATTAATTAGAGTTAAGAGACAAATACTAATTACCATGTGCTTATTACTGTTTTGTTTTCAGACCTGTAGTTCCTGTAAAAATGACACGGTCATATAAAAAGGTTGTGATCATCTCAACCGTCGGTTTAGTAATCATGATTCTTGGCATAATCACAGGATCACTTTGGACCACTACGCTATATGACTTGCTGTTTGCAAACGTAAAGAAATTTTTTCTCCATCGATATATATATGTATGTATGTATGTAAGGCTCATGTATAATCAATGCATTTTTTTTATGCAGCTGTTCATATTAACGAAAACGTCTCTCACTTACGGTCTGTGGGTGGAAACTCCTATTCCGATGTACGTCAAATTCTACATGTTCAATTGGACCAATCCACGGGAGTTTTATGCGTCGTCAGATGTGAAACCGCATTTTCAAGAATTGGGGCCTTACGTTTTTCGGTAATACGTTATTTCCGGAAAGTTTCTCCTACTACTCCAAAAGTCATGATACCAGGTTTTTTTTTACACGCGTGCCTCCTTTGCAGAGAAGTCGATTACAAAACGAATCAAGTGTGGAACGACAATGGAACTGTTACGTTTCAAAGGAGGAAAGTTTGGCACTTTGAGGAGAGCCTGTCGAACGGGAGTCTGACCGACGAAATTACAAACTTAAATCCGATAGTTGCGGTAAGGCGCGCGCTTACTTAACGCTTGCTAATCGCATAATTTTCTGTGTAACGAATACGTTATGTGTTGCCCAATTTTAGACGGTTGCGTCCTCGATGAAACATAAGCCTGTGTTGGTGCGCAAGCTGGTCGACGGAGTTATGGTGCGTTTAGGGGAGAAGCTAGCAATAACTAAAACCGTGAACGCGCTGATATTCGAAGGATTCAACGACACGTTGTTGGACATTGCACGAAAGATGAACATGACCACTCTACCTTATTCCAAGTTCGGCTGGTTCTACGCGGTAAGTGTACGATTTTTCGCCACCGAATAATGAAACGGTATCCATATTTCGTCTCTGACATTTGCACGTGAGCAATAAAAGGCAATTATAACAAATGCCGTTTCGAGTTTATGCGCGATCGAGCAATTCGACGTGATCTCAAAGGTAAACTGTATCGTTTTTTTCCCCTCGCAGAGAAACAACTCGGATTCCTACGATGGCACATTCAGCATGTTAACTGGAGCGACTAATATATACGATATGGGAATACTCAAAGAATGGAACTTTAGTAATCAAACAAATAATTACAAGAGTTCGTGCGGTGCGATACACGGAACGTTGGGAGATTTTTGGCCACCCTTATCGAATAACGAAACGGTTTCTATATTCGTCCCTGACATTTGCACGTGAGTAATGGAATTACAACAAATATCGTTTGAGTTAATATAAAACTTCATATTAAATTAATTATACTGTATTTACAATGTATTTATTTAGGACTTTGGACTTTTCTTACGAAAACACAACGAAAGTTGAAGGTCTAACAGGAAATAAGTATATCGGAAGAGAATCTATGCTCGATAATGGTAAATCCGTACCGTCGAGACAATGCTATTGTCCCGATGGGGGTTGTGGACCTAGTGGAACGTTAAATATTTCAACTTGCAAATTTGGGGCGCCGGCTTTCGTTAGTATGCCGCACTTTTATCTGGCGGATCCGAATTACAGGGTGAACATATCGGGAATGACGCCAGACAGATCAAAGCACGAACTGACGCTGGTCCTGGAACCGGTATGTATCTTGTGTAAATTATCATTATGAATACTAACAAACAGCAAGGTGTGTGCACGAATATTAACGAAAGAAACTTAAAAGACCACAGGTATCCCACTGACAGTGAAGGCGCAGTTGCAGCTAAATATATTGCTGGAACCGGTGTCTAATATGAGGTAAGCAGCAGGCAAGCGCACAGCCCAGACAAATCATTTATGTCCATTTCTGTCAATGTAAATTTAACTTTAATCTCAATAATTTTAATTTACTTTTCATCTTTCTCTCTAATTCTTTATCTTTTTCTAATTTTATAAGCGCGCCTGTAAATTAATTCGATAACAAACTAGAGAACGAATTTGTCCAATTAATTTGTAAATTTTTTTTTCAGCATGTTTGAGAATATAAAGAAGACCTACATCCCGATACTGTGGTTTTCTCAACAGGCCAATTTAACTGCCAGTTACGCGAGCCAAGTAAAACTACTCTTAACTCTTCCGTCGCTAGGCACTGTAACCTTTTTCGGTATAGCCGGAATCGGAATTTTGCTATTCTTTATTGGCGTCTTCGTTTATGTAAGGAAAAGATGGCGGGGAGAGGAAAGCCAAGTATTAATATCGAAATACGATGGCGACGTTAGAACACGAGACGAAATTTAGTAATTGTCTTCTTACGGGCGTGATTGTTACACGTCCGAAATTTTTATTAATTTTAATTAATTTGTACATTCACATTATTACTTGTATTTTTAATTATTTTCATTAATTTACAAGATACAATGTAAAGGGCATAACAAATTTTTAAAATGATTGAAAGTAGTTGAGCAAATTAAAATTCTCGATGGTGCTCTGATCGCGCGTCCTGGCCACGCGCGATGTGGGGAGCTTGTGACAGCGTGAGATCCTCTCCATCGACATATAGGAATAGAATGGACTGCTGATGACAGTGGTGAGACTAGAGTCTTCTACCATGCTTGTAACAGCGTGAGATCCCCCCCATCGACATATAGAATGGACTGCTGATAACAGTGATGACTGATGAGACTAGAGTCACTAGAGTCTATATTTTTACGTGCCATAAACAAACTATAGAAACTAAGAGCGACAGTTAAATGTAATTTTTGTAATTTGTCACTGAAGATAAGCTAAGAAAGATAGCCGAAACGTTTGATTTTAGAATAAAGTAAATTTCATGTAAATTAAATATTGCATACCAATAACGCTCAACAAAAAAGCAAATTAAAGAAAAAGATTCATTCTGTCAAAAACTGTACACTCGCTCACTAAAAGGTTGCGACACTTTCTTTTTTATAGGTTTCAAAACGTATTAATATTTTGCAAATGCGGACCACGATTGATGTTATATTGCTTTTAGATTAAAGATAGTAGATCGTGATTTGCATTTGCAAAATATTAGTTATCTATAAAGTATATATTACGTATTTTAAATATAAATTAAAAACTTATAAAAAAAATGTGTCGCAACCTTTTAGTGAGCGAGTGTACATCTCGTTTTTGCGAGATTTTTATTTTGGGATTATCATGGAACTTTGCAAAGTTAGGACAAAATTTTGCGATTTGTCATATCTCCATTTATATTATTGCGACTCCGAAGAAAGTTAGTTAATCGTTTTCTAAAGTATCAACTTGAAAAATGGAGATTTCAAGCTTTGTAAAATGCTTTTTTAAAAATCTCGTTACGATAATTTTTGACAAAGTTGCTCTACCTTGAATTTTTAGAAATTATTGATAAACTAACGCATTGTCCGGACAATTATAGTTTGGTGATTGTATGTATATATAAATATATAAATATAAATATATATATATATATATATATATATATATATATATTTTGTAATT